GGAGCTGGAGGAAGTGTCTGGAGAGAGGGAGGTCTGGGCATCTTTGCTTAGACTGCTGCCCCCGCGACCCGGTTTGGGATAAGCGGAGGAAAATGGATGGATGGATGTAGACACATCTGTGCTCTTCCTGGCAGTAGAACTGTGGAAGCAAATGGATTCACAGAAGCTGCAGAGTGACACAAGTGCCGACCAACTGCCACATTGACTCCTATGTAAACAGTATTAGGCAGGTGGTCATAAAAGTATGCCTGATCGGTGCCTTCATTGCCTTACACACACACAGAAGTTTACTTTAGGTCAGCCACACATAGAAATTCATTCTGTTGTTTTACACAGCATCAAAAGTAGTCAGCTGAGAATAGTCCCTAGCAGATGTATTACTAAAATATACAGTATGCAGCTGTTATAGAAAATGACTGAGCCTTTTAAAACTGAAATTATATGACTTGTTGATTATTGATGTTTTCAGTAGGAATACTGTAAATGGGTTTGGTGTGGAGAGCAAACGACAGGGTAGGGAAGTCAGAAAGTACAGTACCTGCACTGACATTTTCATAAATGTGATATTGGTTTTGGACTTTTCATAAGTTTTGTTTGCACTGAACCTATCCTTTAATTAAATCTCACCTCTCCAAGCATAAATAGGGGTTTCTGTCACTGTTAATGATTCATTTTGTTGCAGAGACCCATCAGTGAAGAGAACATTATGCAAGAAGTGCTGCTCATTGCTGATCCCTGGTGTAACTGCTACAGTAAGACAACAAAGTAAGTTTACCATTTGGAGTTATAGTCCAAGTATTTACAGTGTGTTTACATTTCCTATGTTACCTTGCATTGCATACTTGGTATAATTAGATGATCTAAGGGCTGCTTTATGTATGTATCTCATTGAAATATTTGATCACTAACCTACTTGTTGACTGTGTCTCATGAGGAAAAAACAGCAGGACTCGCTTCACTGTGGTTAGGTGCCTCAGCTGTGGACAGAGCAAGACACTGCTGAATAATCCAGATTATTGTTTATGGGCAGACCGACCTGAGGCTCAGCTGAATCAACAAAAGCAGCCAGGTGACCAACCTCAAATTAACACTATACACACCAGCTTCACAGGTGATGGTTTCCATAAGCATGAGATAAACAGTACTAAGGGAAGCATCAAATCCGTAGTTTGAAACCTTGTTTTTCCTTTGTGCCCTTTCTAATAAAGTTTAAAGTGCCCATGGCATGCTCATTTCCAGTCATTTAATGTTTAATCTTGGGTATCTCTAGATTAGCTTTGCACACATCATAACACCAAATAGTCTATAATTAATTATTTCAGAATCATAAAACCAAAGAGTCTCTTGCTAAAAACGAGAGGCTAGTTTGTGAACGCGCACACCTCCTGTTGCCAGTGTTGTCGAAAGTGGACAGCACAACGAACCGCAACGGCATTAATTAATTTGAATTTCTCCTCCATAGATAGATAAACAACAGTAAATGTACTGATGAAAAGAGATGTGTAACACTCAAAAGAAAGCGGTTAATTGAGAAACCCCATATTTTAACCGGCATAATGTAGACATAGCCACCTCTCCAGCCTTATAACAATTATGTCTAACGTTACAAAAACAAGGCATAAAGAGACATGCAACTTGTTTTTTATTTTTTTATTATTTTTTTTTTACTTGCCGTTAAGTCCCACCAAGTAGTAGAAACATCCCTCCCTTTCCAGTAGCTCCAAGGTCAGTAAATCCAACCAGTGGTCACTGCCTCTTCCCCCACACGACTACATACAGTCCCAAAGTAGTGAAATTAATTCCAGCAGGTAGTGTAGCACCGACAATAAGATGATGGCTCGTTAACCAGCATCACATCACATGCGGCAGACACTCTGGCCTCAAGCAAGAGGCCTCAAACATGTTCTGGGCTCCAGGGGAATCCAGAGTTGATGAGCTGATCAGTCACCACTGTAGGGGGCTTCACTGGCTAACTGCTTGTAGATTAGACCTGGTCAAGTAAAACGAGTCCCTAGTACATGCAGTAACCTCAGGCCCTGTATTTTTCTCCACATCCTCGGGTCAAAGTGCAGGCAGCAGGAGGTAAAATGTATCCACAAAACCCGGCGCAGTCAAAAAATTTGACTTTTACAATGGCACTGGTGGATGTCAGGCAAGCTCACATGAACATGCAGCTGCCTGGAGATAATGACCATTTATTTTGTTAGAAAAAAGTCTTGCAAGCAAGAGTTTGTGAAACTTGTATAAACTGAGTTGCTTCTGCGATAGAAGTACTCAAACATACGTACACATTTTTTGAGCTTTAGGTCACATCTAAGGTGATAATTCACTGTTTTAACATTGTAGATAAGTCAAAAAACAAGGAAAAGCATGCCATGGGCCCTTTAAGAGTCCTGAGATCCTAAAACTATAGTAATTTTACTGCACAAATTAGATACCAAATACTTAAAAATTGGAAGTAAGTCGTGACTGTTAAAGCTGTTTGTTTCTCACCTACAGATCTGGACACTTCTGCTGAAAATCAGCCAAAAGACAAAGAACTTTGTGGATCACAGTCTTGTAAATCTGATTCTGCCCAAAGTACTGCCAACACATAGCAACACTTCCCCTCTCATACCTGTTTAACATGGACTGATATTTATTTTTGTTTGAGATATGTGTAGCTTAATTTTGCTACATATATCTATAGTCAGAAGTATTTAGATATTTCAATTCCAAAATACCTTCTGTATTTCACTCATTTTGTTGATTTAGTACATTTTGACCTCTGTAAGATAATTTTCTTGGTTTATATGCCCTCTATAAAGCATCCCAATTTGGGCTGCCTCAGGAAGTGCATCCTGCGTAAAACACGTGCCAAATGTATACATGCGAACGGTTGATTCGCTGTGGCGACCCCTAACGGGAACAGCTTGAACCTACTAACAGAGTAGTAGATAGATCTGTCGTTTGTAAAGCAGTCAGTGTCATTCTATATACTGCCATTAGATGGCACCATGTAGCAGCCTTTACATGGTGGGTTCAAGGAGGAAGAGTTAGTAAAAGTGGTTTTGTTACATGGTGGAAAGTGATTGTCGGTTTTATTGAAAACAACCAACAAGAATGGAATCACTGCATAACAATTTATTATTTATCCCAGGCTTGTTAAATTGAAGTAAACACCTCTTGACCACTGATCATTTGTTGTCAAGTATTTTCCTAAAGAGTTAATTTAAAAAATGTGTAGTTAGTTTCACAGTTTCTTCTTTTCTGCTTTGTCTCCTTTTGGCACTCTGAAACGTGTCTTCTGAAAATACAGTAGGTTCTTGGCAAAAATCCTTGGAATATGGCCCATGTACAAGAGAAGGGCCAGAGTCATGCCTAGAAAACATTCATTGTAAGAATTAGCAACAAATGAACATGTTTGTATTATGCATTGGTATTTTATTTCATTGTAATGTAATGTACCTGTGAGAGGGCCCAGCCAGTAGACCAATGCATATTCTTTGAAAGTAAATCCAGGACAGTGGAAAGTGAGGCCATAGGCCAAGGATGGATTCATGTATGCTGAGGTGTAGCCTCTGGCTAGAAGATCGAATGGAAAATTAGTTACTCGTTGTTTAACCAATCAGGGAAGATTTTTTTTAATGAAATAGTCTCTAAAATGTCCTGTGAAACATCCACAAAGCAAACTTATTTAAAAGTACAATGACATTTAACATGCTGCAGCCTTGGTAGAGTGAGGAGCATGTTTGTTGATCTAGTTTTCCAGATGGTGCCCAGTATTTTCAGAGGTTTTATTTGCAGAAGATCTAAAATGAAAATGTTCCTTTTTGCATTTCAGCAATTGCTCTGTACTCTTAAAACTTACCAACACAGGAAAGGAAAGTGAGAAGGATGGTGATCAGGGGCACCCGGAGCAGAGCGGACCTGTGTCGCAAGTTTAGGTGGACAAGGTTGAAGATGAATGTGCAAACACACTCAGTAAAAAAGCCCTGACACAAAGAGACCAGCAGAGACGTACTGCACTCTCTGGCCATCAGGTTTTTGATCATGTGCATGTCTGTCAACTCCAGACTCCAGTAGTACACAGCTACTAGAAGTGCGAGGTGGGCCCCAAGAAAGTGGGCCACAATAGAAAGCACAGTGGGCAGAGTGGTGACCTGTAGTTGCAGGAACTTCAGCACAGCCAGGATGGGATTCCCTGATGCACCGTCACAGATCACACCGTGGGTCAGCAGCACCACAAACAGCATGGTAACAGTTACATCAGGACCCAAGCCCCCAGCCCACTCACCCACTTCCACAATGGTCTGAACCTCCAGCCAGCATGCCACCAGCATAAAAGAGTAGGCAAACTCCAAAATGAAGCTAAACTGTGGCCATTTTTTAAGAAATGTTCGAACTGTGCCTGCAAAAATCACAATGACCAGGAAGTATCCAAGAGATGCATTCAGTCCAGACATGGCTTAGATCAGATGTCCCCTTCTGAGAGTTTGCCTCAACAACAGTGTTTGACAACGTGGCATATGTGTGATACATTTCTTATCAGAGACACGTCAGGTTTTATCCCACAACCACCTGCCAAAATACACATGGGCCTTTGTAAGGTCAGGTCAGCTGAAGCTGGCCTTCATTCTGGTCATGTAAAATATCAAACCTGTGTCAAATGCTTGCTTTTCTCATTCTAGAGGATAACATACACTGTTAAGGTCTTTATCATATCATGAAATGACTGAAGAACAACAATGAATAAAATTACAACATACTACCACTGACATTCGAAAGTTGGGAGAATGTACTCCTGTTGGCAAAACCTTAATGCTGATTGAGCTATAACAACATATGCAGGTTATCCATGTGGCTGTCATCTTAAATAACATTCTGGCATTATGACTATTGTACATCCAGTCTGAAATTTATTTCTGCATGAAAACAAGTGAATTCATGAGGAATGTGTAACAATAATAAATTACATGATAAATTAGAGTAAATGGCCTTCACAAGACAATCTTTAATGTACAAAGTACAAAATGCTATTAGACTATGTTAAAGAATATACACATTTTTCTGTGACTGTCCTGTGCATACAAATACATGTTTATGAGTTTAAACAAAATTTGAAAATGCATCTTGAATGCTCAGGGTGATTACAACAAGAAAACTAAGTAAAATTTTTGTAAATTGTTTCCAACACTGAAGGCCAATGAAGTGTTATGTTCAAGCACAGATGAAGTACACACCCTATTAGCTTGAATGGAGATACTGTATATACAGGCATGTCCAAAAATATTGGTATCCCTGCATTTCTGTCAGATAATGCACCACTTCTCCCAGGAAATTGTTGAAATCACAAATTCTTTGGCATTCTCGTGTTTATTTCTTTTGTTTGCATTGGAACAACAACAAAAAAGCAGAGGAAAAAGCCAAATCTGATACATTCTACACAGAACTCCAAAAATGGACTGGACACAATTATTGACTGCATTTCAAAATCATCAGAAATAGTTGTATTTCAAGTTCAGACACCTCCCCAGTACACAGACTGTATGAGCCTTTCCATGTACTTTCATGCTCTTCTCTTCTTCTCTAAAGCAACACTTGATTCAATTACGATATCCTTGAAGGACAATGAAGTCAGTGCCACAGCACCTCTCTAATTAGTCATCTAAAACAGGCCAAGTGTAGCAGTTGGGTGGCCACTGATGACTCGCTGTGGCGCCCCCTAACGGGAGCAGCTCAAATAAGAAGTGATGGTGACTCAGGTCAACTAGACGGTGGCTTCGGATTACAAATCTGACTCCCACCAACTGATCATGATTCACTAAGAAAACTGGTTCCTGCATCTGCCATGTTTCAACATTGCCATTGAAAAACTAACTATGCCTTGAGGAAAGGCATGCCATAGAGGCAGTTATCTTACTATTATAGTGTATACATCAACTTCCACTTATTGAGGATCAAAGTCACTTTTTACAATAACCTGTGCTCACAGAGTTCTCTCAATAAAAAAAACAAAAAAAAAAACAGAAAAACCTCACATCCACAGAGAGAATAAAACTGTACCTTATAGTCAGACTCTGTGCTAGGGTGAGTAGATATTCTCTGATACTCGATGTAGCATCAAAAACACAATCAATTTATCTGTAGAGATCTTCTTACCATCGACGATAGCAAAAGGGCTCCTAAAGCCTGCTCTTTAGTTTTGTTCACTGGCTCGTTCCACCAGCGGCCACTGCTTGGCTCTTGCATCCTTCTCATACTGGGTTAGGTCTTCCGATATCTTTATTTTTGTTTGCCTGAAAATGTCGGAGTTTTTAACGTCTGTCCGGGGTTGATCCCCGTGTGATCGGGCGAGAAATCGAACTATGATGCGGCGTTTGTTAATTGCAGGTAGCAGCACAGCGTTTGAGGTGTGCTCGCGATGTAGTGACTTTTTCAGTGGGCTATTATTGGGAGATTCTTAAGATGATGTTGTTGAATAATCAACCCGTTTAAGATTTCCCGCTGCCCTTTCAGCTTCTATCTTTTCATTCACAGTCGACATATCAGCAAAGGGAATATTTATACACGAAGTTGGAACGCTAATGTAAGCTAACAAGAAGAATATGACATTAGCAAGCCGAGCTTCAGTGTCCACTTATCCCGAAAAAGAACAGAGAAAATGATAGAAGAAGTTAGTCAGTGTTTCTAAAACAAACTTCAACATGCTGGTCTTTACCCCAGTGACTTGTAAACACATCAGTTGGTCATTGGGCAAAGGAATTCAGGTTTCGAACGAAAAAAATCAACCAGTGTAGGAAAAAAAGCTTCTTACAGCGGCGCCATCTTGGTTCTTAATTTCCACGTCCTCGAGTCTCTTGTGTGTGTGTGTTTGAGTGTGTGTGTTGGAAGCGGTGAAATGATGGCAGGGGAACAGCCGACACTCATACAGGAATGAGAACTTGTCGGGGATGGCGGACAAACCTCTTACGGTGTTTGTGAAATTGTTTGCCGCTGGATTTTACGGTCTAAGCTCGTTTGTCATCGTCGTCGTGAACAAAAGTGTCCTCACTAACTACAGGTAACAATTTATTTAGCTAACTCCTCTTACGGTTACAGTTGGAAAGCAACCACGATAGCTAACCTAGCTACTGGAAGTTGTGCTGGTTGGATGGCGAAGCTTATTAGCTAACGGGAACTTCTGACTAGCGAAGGGTAACCTTGTGGTACCGACTTGACGAGGAGAGCTTCACTGAGTATAATTTTAGCAAGCTATTTGTATTTTACCCCACTAGTGTTAAGTGCGAGGTTAGCCACAGTGTGTTCATTGGGATTAACTCTTGTTTCAGGTTCCCTTCGTCAATATGTGTCGGAATTGGACAAGTAAGTTGAATGGTTTTCTCCTTTTTACTAAATGCATTATGCTCCCTGAAAGCAAACAGAGCTGCAGGTAATTTTTAGCTGACTGTGTGTGCAGATGTTGGCCACAGTGCTTGTGCTGTGGGTGGGAAAGGCAGCAGGGGTGATCAGCTTCCCAGACTTCGATGAGAGCATACCTCGCAAGGTGAGAGACCCAACATCTCACCATCTATTTTCATTTTAAAAAATACACAGATTTCAGGATTACATGTCTTAATTGCTGGCCAAACTCAAACTGCTCCAAACCTCAAATGTATTCACTTTGCTGTCGTTATAGAAAACATAAGCAGCGAAAATTGTCGGAAATGATATTCGCCGGTTATTGAGATTTGCTGATCTTTTCTTGTCCATCAGTTGGTCTGCTCATTGCTTTGGCTTTTAAACAACTAGGTTTGCGAGGTCCGAAGGAGTATAGTATACCTCTTGCAGTCCTGTAGTAGTAGTAGACTTCTTTCTTCATCTTCTTATTCCTTTTTATTTTTCTTCTGCCACTCCTCCCACATTTTTGAGCTATGTCTACCAAATTCAAGTACAGTATGTCCTGTGTTCCCTTTGGGAATAGTGTGCTATGACCTTTGGTGAGGGTCCAATCTAGGTTCTTCTACAAATCGTGAAAAACGAGCAATTTTCCTCTACAGGGATGAATGGAAAATGCCTTTTCCCCAAGTTTTTTTTTGAATATCTGAAAAACGATTAACTATAATATCAAACTTGGTACATCTTCCTTGTGACAAAACGCACTGACTGTAAAATCCCGGCACGCAATCGGGCGAAGGCGGGGTACACCCTGGACAGGTCGCCAATCCATCGCAGGGCTAACACATAGACGAACAAACACGCACATGCACTCCTATGGGCAATTTAGAGACACCAATCAACCTAAGCTGCATGTCTTTGGACTGTGGAAGGAAGCCGGGGTACCCGGAGAGAACCCACGCAAGCACGGGGAGAACATGCAAACTCCACACAGAAAGGTCCCAGGTGGGGCCCGAACCCGGAACCTTCTCGCTGTGAGGCAACGGCGCTAACCACTGTGCCACCATGCTGCCCTGTCTAAAATTAAAGCTAGCTATTTGTACCATTGTTTCATGTAGGAGGAGGCACAATGACAATACACACTTTGCCCTACATTAGTGTAAAGTAGCTTCTTGATTTGATGTGTAGTTTCTGAATAACAGCTGATTAAATTTGATGTTGTTTCAGCTCATGCTCCTACCCGTTCATTATCAGTCACATTGCCATGGTGCCACTTACATCAGTCATTCCAATTCTGTTATACCAGCATGTTCTAAAAATCATTTAGATATCTTTTATAGTTTCTTAATTGGAGGCATTTTAATTTTAAGCCCCTTGTCCTTTGTTGAAGATTTTTCCTCTGTCATTTCACATATAGTATGTACAAATGCTATACTAATATGTTCTGCAGGTCCTTCTGGTTCATATGGTCTAAGAATTGCATGTCTATGACTTTTACTTTTAGAGGAAAATAAAGTTAATTTTGTCTCCCTGTCAGATATATATATATATAGTCTCTCCATCTCTCTTTCTCTCTCTCTTTCTGTTATTATCTCTTTGTTTTTCTCTGTCACTTGCTCTGCTCTAGGACGTCGTGTTCCATTATGTCCTGATTCAGCCAAATCCAACATCATTGTCTACATGATGTTCCAACATATTGTCATTGGGTCTTATTTCATCACGTGTGAACAAACCTTGTAGTGCTATGTTCTGCAAGTCCGATTGACTTGACAATGGCACACAGCTGGGTAGCACGGTATGACTCCAAAGTTAGGAATATTTTAAACCGCCGGAGTTGGCACACCTAAAATTTCTTCAGAAATTTCAAAATCTCTAGTTAGCAGTTTACCGTTGTGGAGGCACTTCCTTTTTGTCACAAAGCCTAAATATATGTTTACCTTGTTTTCTAGACATTTCCTCTACCTCTCCTTTATGTGGGAAATCAAATCACTGGTCTGTTTGGAACCAAAAGGCTGAAGTAAGTCCTTATCTCAAAATTGTCAAGGCTTGTAGTTAAAGGGGAGTTCATTCATTGTCATCATGAGATTACTGGGCATGGCTGTTGATGGTGATGTTTTTAATTTTTGACAATTTACTTTCACAACTTGTATCTACCTCTGCCAGTCTGCCGATGTTTACTGTCCTGAGGAGGTTCTCCATCTTATTCACAATGCTGGCTGAGGGATTTCTTCTCAAGTAAGATTACACATGACTGATAACCCACTTTTTTTTTGGTCATTTCCTGGCCCTTGTGTTTAGGGCACAGCTGTAGTACAAAACACAAAGCCTTTTCTTTTTGAATTGTATTGGCAGCTTTTTTTTTTGTAGCCCAAAACACTCAGATTGTATTTTGTTGCTCTTTGACTGTTGGCAGAAAGAAGTTCTCCAGGCCAGTCCAGCTGACAGTATTTACAATGATCCTCGGGGCATTTATAGCTGCAAGGTAAGTTCTGCTACATCCAAGTGTACCTGCTGTTAACCAGACTACAATTACCAACTCTACAAAGGGTTGTCCTTTCCTGATACAAGTCCACACTTAAGTGATACTATCTCGAGGGTGCATGTTGCTTAGCTGTAGTTAAAGGAGCTCTGTTGAAAAAGCCCATGGCCAAAGCTAACAGAACACTCACTCACATTAGCCCTCGTTCACTAATAGAATGAGTGTAGACATGTAGCTTACCTTGTACACAAAATTATCGTCAGATTCATGACGCATGCGCATTGGCCAATTTTATTCTTACCATGCTTAGGTTAATAAATCAGATTCATTCTAAAATATCAGGTTCATTCCTGCAATGCACCATCAGTGTATTGCCATGCCCCCATTTCTCTATACAAGGAAATACGTTTGCCTAGAGGCGTCTTATGGAGACAGTGGTGAAGATGCATCAGAGAAGCAGAACAAGATAGGAGGTACTGACTGAAATTTGTCTGATAGTCTTCCAGCGAATTGCATAGGTGCTGCAAAACTTGCCAGAAATGACTGATAAGACATCCGTCACGCTCTTTAATTACATTATATGAGCCTCTGAAGATTTGCTCTCTCCTGAAGGCACAGGCTGCATTGTCTTCCAGCACGTTCAATATGCCATCTTAACACTTGCTTGGAGCTAAATTAGAATTGTTGATATATCCTGCAACCCTTTAATAGGCTGCAAATTAACCAGATGGCTACAAATTAACACTGGCTACATATGTGTAATTTTATAACACTAGAAACTGGTAGGAGAAGCTGATCAATATGAGCCAATTCAATAAAAACAACCAACACTGTTACATTTCAGAATGGACATTTAATGTGATTATCAAGTTTTCACAAATTGGAAACTGGGTTTCACTGAGTGTTGAGTTTTTCTAGAATGTCAAACTTTTTCACAACATTCAGAGGTGTTAAAACAGAAAATGTCACTTTGTATTGTAACGTTGCCCTTAACTGTCAAATCAGAAGCCAATTTCAGCATCGTACGGCTTCCCCGAGTTCACCAGTAGCTCTCAAACCATCTCTTTCATTTTACTGGCATTTTCCCACTCCAGGCAGACCTTAAAATTCATTAGCCCCATTCCACACGGTGTCATTTAACATTACTGCGAGGGAGACGGACAGTTATGACTGGACAATAACCCTCAGTCCAGTACCTCCCTCCAGTGCAGTACCTGTAAATATACATTGTAGAGATTATACCAATCCGTACAGGTCTCTGTTTTTAAGTACTCTATTTTAATTCCTATTTATCTCGTTCACAATGAGCATTACTTGTCTGTCTGCGTTGTTTACTGCCTGTTTATACTGTTTATTTTGCATTGTTTGTTGCTTATTAATACTGTTTATATTTGTTATAATACGCAACCTTATGTTGGTTTACGGTTTACTTGCCCCTTGCTGTTGCCTTGCATGAGGATATGTACATGCACATTGAGAGCCACTGTACCAGAGTCAAATTCATCATGTGTACGACACACTTGGCCAATAAAGCTGATTCTGATTCTGACAGTCCCGGAAGATCCCACAGAAAGTCTCTGATAAGCGACTGTGCACTGGTGATGTTAGTTACAGCTAACATTAGCTATAGCCTACCTGTAGCTAACACTAACACTTGCTGCAGCAGACCTCTGCCACACCAGCATAATGTTAGTTAAAAGTGACCTTTAACGTAGCTCAGTTATGTGAGTAAAGACACCAGTAGAAAGAAACACACAGCAGTTTGAGAGCTCCAGCTGAATTCGGCAAAGCCGCTATAGTAACTATGCAGCCGTGCTCAGCAGACATAAGCCCGATGCGGATAGTGGAAGAGGGCTGTCCTCTCCTCATGGGTCTCAGCCCCAACCTTCAAATTTCTCCCCTCTATGGCAAAACAGTGATGGAGAAGTGAAACTGAAAAAAATACTTTGGCATTGAAAAACACTGACATCAACAAAGAATTCAGAACATTTGCCATTTTCCCTCTATTAATACTTTTTTTTTCAATGCCAATGTTTTTTCCTTTCAATACCTATGTTTGCTTTTTCAGTTACACTTTTACTTTCAATGCCAAGCTTTATTTTTCAGTGCCATAGACTAAAGTCATGTATTTGGCACCATAGAACTATGACACTTGGACTGGGATAATTGAATATTTTAATTCTGACAGTAATTGATGAGGATGAAAGGGTGCCATTTTTTTTGTTTTTTAATAGGCAACATTTGGCTAATGCATTAGTAAATTAGTCAATGACTAAAGCCTTAAATTAAATTATAAATATTAATTGTATAATTGGTAAATATTAGATTTTTTAACGAATGAGGCTTTAATATGCTATGCATTCAGATAAAGGGTGTGTGTGTTTACATTTTTAACATAGCCAGGCATTCATCATTTGTTCATGCACATGATCTGAGGCAGTTCTAAGAGTAAGAACAAATTTGGCTAAGAAAATACTGACACATCCCGAACTTGTTTGTATGTATGCTTTAAACAAGTTTATGTACATACCGTTTGTGTATGAGGCCCATTGTTTTCCTCTCATCTCTCTTCATAGTGCTGACTTGTCCTTTGACCTGCAAGGCTACGTGTTTATTCTCCTGAATGACTTGCTGACTGCAGCCAACGGAGCCTACGTCAAACAAAAATTAGATGCAAAGGTATGTAGCAGCACCTCCCCGATGAATAGCTACCACTGTTGGTTGGAAGCTGTGTGACATTGAGCTTGATGTCAGTGAATTTAGAGAACCCAAACTGTCCTTCAGCATCTGTCTTCGATAGGGGTGGGACGAATCACAAAACTCACAGATCAGATCATTTTTAGGATCAGCAAAAACAAAAAAGGCCTGAGTTCACTTCCAATGTATTATTTAAAAAACTAAAGTAAGCACTTATAGCGAGGAACTGTTCATATGGTCTTAATTGAAAACAGCAATCAAGATCCTCAATGCTTAAATAAAATATTAAAATAAACCATAACCAGACATACGATAGGCGTTTGTCCACCACCTTTCTTCCGTTATCATATTTTACAGGAAAGCAAAAATACACCCATACATGTGATTTAATGATGCAGGAGGCTTTTCAAGTTCTACAGCTTCTCCACTAGCCTTGGCTTTCACTGCCAGCTGCTTTAACAGGCCCCTTTCATGTGAACATATAGGGGTTGTCTCTGTGGGCATGTTCCAAAACCCGACTGGCATGGTCAGTTTGTGCTGCATGAGCACGGTCACAGTTCATTGTAACTACGCTACATAACAAGCAGAATGCCGGCACAGTCAAATGGAAGCTGCCCTGTCTTTTCACTGCAACTGTAATGTTATATCAAGATTTGGGGAATTATTGCTTTACAAGACAACAGCAACAATTTCAAACTATAATGATTAAACTCATTAAGCCATTGATTTCAGTTATTTTGTCCAAGGGATGCACTACCAAATATTAAGTTGAGGGTGTCAATAATTCTGTCCAATCCATGTTTGGAGTTCTGAGTGGAACATATCGGATTTGGCTTTTCTCTCTGCTTTTTTGTTTCAGTGCAAACAGAAGAAATAAACATGACAATACCAAAGAATTTGCAACATTTTTCTGGGAGAAGTGGCGCGTTATCTGACAAAAATGCAGGGGTGCCAATATTTTTGGCCATGACTGTATATTCTCTTTTTTTTAAACATTTTTGCATTATTTATAGCATCAGGCTCATTACTGTTATACTGTTCATTGCTGCGTGTATCTTATTTCACTTTTTTTTTTGTTTTTTGTTCAATGAGCAGACTACTCAGCTCTTGCGTTACAGCAAAAGGCAGAAGTGGATCCAGATTTTAGTCTGTAATGTCTGTAGGGTGCCATCTGCAAGCACACACCTAAAGAGTGTGTGTGTGAGTAGGTGATATTATGAGGGAGCAGTCGTCCTACAGATCCTTTAAAAAAGATTAACGTTGATTTTAAGTTTTGTTTATATTATCCTGTTAGCATTGTAATTTTGGGGGATTTGTATGCTACGTCTTGAATACATGTAGACTTGTATGTATGCTGGTTCTCACATTTTCTGCTAATGAAAAAGAGCTAATGAGAAATAAGCTAGCAAGATGGGGAGATGGTTCTAAGATAAACAAGTACTGAGAATGGTTAGCTGTCTCGTATAACGATTTTGATGCAACCTGCAAGATAGGTTTTTGAACTTGGCACAATGGGAATTAAAGTAGTTGTGTCCATTATGAAATTATAAAAGCACAGATGCTTCGGTGGTATTTGAAAAAGTAGCTACATGGAGTCTTACATGTTTGCTGTCACTATCATCACCTGCTGCTGGATAAAAGGCTATACAGATATTACAGGTACACTAAGATGAACGTAATTAAGACCAGTACCAGTCCTGTAATAATCCCACTGTTAAATGTTCAGCTTTTGTTGCAACTGAATTGTTTGAAAGGTGGGGGTTACAGGTTTTGCTGGTGTTTTTGAATTGTATTGGTATGAGTGCTTCTATAATCTTGTTCACCCTATCTAAACAGATGCACAGTGATGGAATAGTGGCACTTCTGCCAGCACCATTTAAAAATCGCCTAATAATCGGTCTGCAGGAGAGGCTTAAATGACAGTACAGTAAAAGTACAGCCTGTCACACTGCCAACCCTGTGGTGGGGGAAAAACTCAGATCGGTAGTAATAAGACGGTATAAAAATACTCTGCGTCAAGTAAAGGTCCTACCCTCAAAATGTTACTTTAGTAAAAGAAGAGAAATATTAACATCAAAGTATTCTTAAAAGTGCAAATTAGCAGTTTAAGATAATGTATGTTACTGGATTATAATTACTAATGTGCCCGTCTTTAATTTTGCGCTTGGTAATGGTGGGACTCATTTTAATTAGTGGGTATCTTAAACTGTAATGAGTCCTTTTAAAATAAATTTGCACATTATTATTTCTGTAAGTTGTGTATTTGTTACCAAAGCATTTATTGTTAATATGATTAAGATGGGAAAAGTAGGAATGTGTTGACTTGTGTGTCGATTTAAGTGGTGCACCTAAATGTTGTGCTAGTGCTCCTAAAATTTTCAGTAAGGAGCACCAGTGTTATTAAAAATTCATTAACATCACTCTAGAGAAGTTTCAACAAAAACTGATAACTATCATGAGGGAGGATTTTCGGTAGGGCTGTTGCATTACATTGTATTAATTTTTTGTTAGGCTTAATCTTGGTAATGTAGATGTTCATAAAATGCATTTGTGATTCCACTTGTCTGTTGAATTTCAAGTTGTCAAAACCACAGGCTGCATGTGCTGTCCTCCATTAGAAATGATTCTACTGATCCACCCATAGACTGTATGGTCACACCAGTAATTGTCATCAAAATAAGCTTTTACTTTAAAGCATGTAGTCTAATACATGATCCCATGTATTATGGATCCATGGGCTACATGATCATATCTGTTTGATATTTGATCATTTGAATGGAAATTATTACACACTCTACCTAAACTAATGTGCATTTGTTCTGCTGTGGATATGGTTAGGCCTTAAAAAGGTCTTAAATTTGATTTTAAAAAGTGTGCAGCAACTCCAGGGAGTGAAAGATGGAGTGAATTGAAACCGGTGCAAATGAGTTCCTAGGTACCGCACTGGGCGGCCCATGCATGACATCTCTATGCTAGTTGGTGAGGAATGCACTGACAGACTTGTGAATAACCCTCTCTGTTCTACCTCTGCTTAATTTTTCATGTTGCTCCATGTGTGTCTGCTTTTTTTTTATCACAGGAGTTGGGAAAATATGGATTATTGTTTTATAATGCATTATTTATGATAATTCCCACTCTGCTGTTGGCTCATGTGACTGGAGATATGCAGAAGGTAAGCAGCATGGTTCTTCTGCTGTTTGATCTGTCATCTCTATAATGTTCTTTCAAACCCCAAAATAACTTTATTCACACAAGATTTTAGTAGTTGAATTTTCTTAATTTAAGTAAAGTAGCTGAGCCATAAAGTCCATTTAGGCCTTAGGATCTCAGTAGCTATTGGTTATTGCAAGCTTTGAACTTAAATTTAGAGTGAGTGCCTGTATGTGGAGTCATGGGGGTGTGGTGTAAATATGAGTTGTCTTTTGGTTTTGTCGGTCAGTGTTGCCAGAGACCTTATTTGCCCAGCTGCACCCAGACAGGCACAAAGCTGATATTATGCACCTAGTAAGTTATTTCAGCAGCACCCACAGCTCCCCTTGACTGAATAACCACTGTGGAGGTACAGACTATTACCTTTTTATAGCTACTGGAAACACAGTTAAATTTCTGTGTTTATCAGTGTGAATTGTGTTAAGGGCCTTGTCATTCACTTCCAAAAACTCTTCAGTGGCCATCTATCGTTACTCCTGTTTTTTGGGGGGGGTTTTATGCTTATGTTGTGTGTGTTTTACTAGTAGAGTTTTGCTCTTTCTTATGCTGTGCTTCTCTTGCCAGGCAGTGGAGTATGACGGCTGGTCAGATGTTTATTTTCTCACCCAGTTCATCCTCTCATGTATCATGGGGTAAGATACAGGATTACGCCAGAGTTGAATATTCCAGTGAATCTGTAGCTCACAATGTCCCTTTGTCTACAGTGTTGTTTTAACATTGTGAAATCTCATTTTACAGTTGAACAAGTGAGTCATGAGTAATGTGATAACCTGTTGATGTTTTGAAGGTTTGTTCTGATGTATTCTACTGTGCTGTGTACACAATACAACTCTGCATTAACAACTACGATTGTGGGCTGCATCAAGGTAAGCTGCAGATTAGTGTGAAGTAACTGTTAAACAGAAACACAAAGACTTGGTTAATACTTTCACCATTTTGCAGAATATCCTGGTGACGTACATTGGGATGGTGATCAGTGGAGACTACATTTTCTCTTGGACTAATTTCATAGGTTTGAATATCAGGTATGAAGTTACAAGTTTTCTGATGGTTAGAAATGTTTAGTTGTCGTCACTGACAGTCTCCTCCCTAACATTACCCCAAACACCTGGTATTAAAGTGGATCTTTAATATCTAGTCTTCAGTAGTCTCCTGTTGTATTTTTTACAAAAAAGTTTTGTTATCCCACCATCGTTTCTGATGGTTCAATACTGATGTCAATTTGTATTTCTCTTTGTTTGTATACTTTACTGTGGTCACCCTGTGTGTTGCTGCAGTATTGCAGGGAGCCTGGTGTACTCGTACATAACTCTCACAGAAGAGCAGACCAGCAAAGCATGTGACAGCATCAAGCTGGACATCAAAGGCAAAGTGGTTGTATGACAGAGACACTGAAATTTATTATTTGTATGCTGATGAATGGAAAGATATTTTGAGTATGACTTATAGAGTATTTTGGCAGCAAAGGTGGGGAACTGATGGGAATAGTGTTGAGGTGACTTCCTTTGTGTGGAAATTGAGCCACACTGCCATCATGACAAAACCCTCCAGTCGGATTATGGGTTGATTTTTAGATGTTTTCTTTTTAAATATTTGTATTTTGATACTGTACTTGTGAGTATTGAGAAGGGAAACATTTAGACAAACTGAACGTTAAATTTTGAGATGACTGTTTATTGAACATGGGCATGAACAGCTGGAATTAACTGTTTTCAAGCATGGGTGGTACTGAAGAGTCACGGGAGTGTTACCTAATACTTATTTTAAAGGCACAGTCCTTTTTTTAAATGCCTTTACTGTTTTGCTGTTTACAAGGAATGGAACTTCAGTCGCCTTCATAGCACAGTTAGATGCACTGACATTGTCATTACCTGTTGTTTCAGTAGTTAGGACATGTCTTTTGATTTTTGCTCATACAGTGTTATAAGCTTGTCGCACATGACGGTGATCTAACCTCATCCTTCAAACAACCAAAGAGGATGGGCAGTGGGCATGTTAGTTCCCATCAAGGATTGTGACTGTAAGTCATGTTGCTGCCACCTTTGGGAGATTATTTAAAGTTAGGTTTACGTTTTGTTCCTTCTCTGTTAAACACTGTTTACTGTGAACTGTTCAAGGATGTAACTGGTTCTCCCTATGCAGAATTAACAAACGGCATTTATGGTTTATTTGTACAAAGGGGGCCCCTTTTTGGTGGCGGTGCATCGCACTTTTAACTGAGGTAGCATCATCAAAAGGCTGAAAAGGAATTGCCTCGCCTCCTGTTGCAGTCATTGAGTATTAAATTACTGTACATTTCAGGTTTTTTAAGTATAAAAAAACTTATCTAAACATTTCACAAATACAAGTGTTAGCAATTTTTAGTTAGCTGCTTTTGTTTTTAACACTTTTCTTTATATCATATTTATTACATTGTTAAACTAATATTTGTTTTGTAAGTGGAGTTGCTTGTGAATTGTTGACACAGCAATCGTGGATTTGAAGGTGAAACAATGTATTTTTACATTAAAGATGCTTTGACATGACATTCCTTTGGGATTTGTTCAGGTTGTAGTGAAGTAATTTCAATATATAGCACATCAGTTGCAGGTTACATATAATGGTACTTACCATGAAAGTAGAGGTTATGACTATTAAAAGCACTTTTCCAAGTTTCAAGTTCTCATTCTAACTAGTGATGCTATAAATATTTTGCAATAGTTTATTTTTAGATGTCAGAATGCTGCTTGGTCCTACATAATTTAACAGCTCCATAGCTTGAGTCATGTTTATACTTGCAACAGATAACTGACTACAGTGGGGAAATGGTTCCCCCTTCTGGTATATCTGTCAAAGCACTGCAAGGATTAAATTTGGAAGTCACTCTGAAACTGGACACTATAGCCCCCTTACACACCCCTTTTAGAGGTGGGATTGGTGTGCCTTTATTCCATTTAGATTTCTCTGTAAGGCCAAAGCTGGAATTGTGTTCAGGGGTGTCTATATTTTTGTTCTCCCCAGCTACATGAATCAGAATATTAGGAACACCTCTAAACATAGTATATAGTCCAGTACAACACCACCTTTAACTATGACCTCTATAATAAACATAATTGCATTTATACATTTGACAATTTCACCAAAAACAAATATTTTGAGCTTTATAAACAGATGTTAAAGCAGGAGTGTTGCAGTGAAGTGCATCCAATTGTGCAGGTGTACCTAAAAGAAAGTGGCCGGTGAGAGTATACACACAGTTATGTATGGGAAGCTACTTTTCAAGCCACCAATTACTTCACACTGGTACTGTAAGGTGAAATTTGGCAACTTGGTTGAGTTCATTGCAAATACATAAACCAGACAAAATATACCACAAAGACACCTGCCTTCTACAAACTAGAGTCCAGGTCCCCCACCTGGACTCTAGTTGCCAGAAGTCATTTCCCCTATCAATTACATATTGCACCAATTAGGATTACTCAGTCAAACTAGGTAACTTCTAAAACACCATGCAGCTACTTCTCTGAACATTTGGTAATACATACAACTAACTGACACCTACTGTATCCATTTAGTTTTACAAATTGAGATTCAAAACATGAACACCTAGCCAACTATTTTTCACAGGTGGGCTGATAGTCCAGCTTCCAGGAATTCCCTTGAGACTGAAACATCTTAAATTAAAAAGGTTTTTTAGGCTTTTTACAAGGACAAAATTGCAAGGAATGCTATAAATGGAGAAAAAAAAAATCATTCCTTTATTAGTTAAATGACATATTACATGTGGTATAGGGCTGCAAGCCGTCTGTTTCCTTCTAAATCCAAGTTTATGAGGTAACTGCTTAGCAAATATAGATATTACATGTTGATCTAAATGTAATAAAATTGGCTGATAATGAAATACAGAATTAGGACATTTTAATATAGGAAAAAAAAGATCATACATCTGATTAAAAACCTACTACCATAAACAGCTGACTTCTGGCCTCACAGGTCTTACATTTAGTTTTATCCAAACCACATTAACAATTAATATCATATACATCAACAAGAATAAAAAATTAAAATTGTATCCAAATATAACCCGTGTGTCTATACACAACTGTCACTTGACTTACGTTCAAATTTTATATTTATTTAATTTGGCTGAGCCAACATGCATCATCTTAGAAAAACTACAAGGTTTAAAAGAAGTACCAAGTATTATTGCATTGTCTTTGCCAGTAACGAACACATAATAAGCAGCTTCAAAAATCAAGTCTGAATAAACAAAACAAAGAAGAAAGGAGTGTTAAGGATCCATACTCAGCTGCCACTACCCTATTATGGATGTGCTGTTGGTGTTGATGCGGTGGACCCCTGCAACTTTGCCATTCAGAGTTCGCAACTTCAGTCCTTTTCGGATTTTTCCTTGGAACCTAACTAATAGATCTCTGCGGATCCCCCGCTAATTTGGGGAATCCGCAAGTATCCTCAGTGGTATTTTTTACAAATGTTTTCTTGGTAATATATGATTTTTCATGCTTTTTAACGCCAACTTATTAAAAAATATTTAATAATTTTACGGCATATTTTATTTAGTTAAATTACTGTACCGGTACTGTTTTTACCCATATTCTACCATCATATACCAAAGAAAACCACACCAGTGCATTCCAGAGAAAACATGCTTGCACATATAGGGGTAACATCGCTATTTTACATTACATTGTACTGTGGACGAGTGTACAATACCATACAGTATATGGTTTTACTGTACTTTATCATTATTTTGTTAAGGATAATGTATTAAATTGAGTTTGACATTAAATTAAAGTGTTTTGGGAGCATATTCAGGGTTTAAACTATATAAATAGGCATTTTTGGGACCACATCCATTCTTCACTGTTTTTTGAAAATCGCGGGTGCTCTTGGAACCTAACCCCTGCAAATTTGGGGGGTCCACTGTACTTAGAATTACAGGTCCACACAAACTACGACGGTTGGACCACATTCAGACTGATTTACAACAAATGGAGGTATTCTAAAATAAAGCAGAACACACTTGGGGAGTTCTAGCTACAAACTTATCAGCTCTGTAAAAACATCTGAAGCATACTGTAAAGTAACAACCATTCCACTGAGCCTTCAAAAGGTCACAGTGGGACTTTCTTCCTGAATTCCTCATGTTACATTCCCTCCTTAGAGCAAGGCTGAGCTATAACAGTAGCATACAGTATGAATACTTTTTTTATTTGTGTTATGGGTGGTTTGCTGGCAAGCCTGTATCATTGCAACTAATATTAAGATTAACTAGACTAGTTACGTAGAGCTGTGGCTCTGTTGTGAACACCTGGTGCTGTGATTCTGACAATATGGAATGGCTACTGCTCTGGCTGTTTCTGTGGCTGTAGCTTTAGCTGTTAAGACTACCACAAAGCTGTTCTTTAACTCCCGTGTGTTTACTGGCAACTCAGTCATATCTGAGCGAAGCATAGTGTCAAGTGACATGTAAAGAGTAGCCTTTTTACAGATACAACCATAGTCATATCCACAGTCACTACCTAAGTCCTAGTGCTACATCAACCCAGAGCCAGATGCAGATGCAGCCAGCTACGGCTGTGCACACCGCCAGTGGCTGTGAACATTTCTGTTGCAACACTGCCTTCACATTAAAAGCATTATGTATGATGTAACATCCTGTGGGATTAAGGGAAGGCAAAAACTATTGTCAGGCAATGTAAAAATAATTTAGAAAAAAATCTCAGATTGTCTGGGGGTCTCTGTGTCATTATTACAGATATTTAGTCAAAACAGACCCACAACATCTCAGTCTAAACAATACTTTCTAGTATCCCCGAATCCCTAGTGTCTCTATAGCACTTTCTAGATCAACTAGGTAATTACAACAGTCAAAACTAAAGTTCTATGAACTCAGTGGTGCTAGTTTTTCAGACAGGCTAAAGCAGCACTGACATAAAAGTGTCAGCCTCTCTTTTTCATGACCGTTGCAGCCGGGAGAGCTAAAGAGAGCACAACCTTTCACGGTTCCACTAGTTCTTAAGGTAACATAAGATAAGTCAGACAAACCCATGACAAGATATTAAAGCTCCACCCAAACAGGAAGAGCAGGACTGAGACCCACTGGAGCAGTTCCCTCACTCTTTCTCTTGCTTACATAGAGTATAAAACATCTGCAGTGCACTGGACTACTTCATGCATTTTTAAAAACCCAGCCTGTGTTTTAGGCTTCTGAAAGGTACAGCTATTATTTAAAAACAAGAACAAAAACAACAAAAAAACACTGCACTCAAGATAGGAGTCAAGCAGCACTAACTGTTATCGGTTTCACCAGGACTGATCACACTGGGAGGGTGGAAGTGCCTGAGGGGTGGTGTAAATTCACTTCACTAAAGAAGGCAGTAATGTCAGAATGTCTGTGTTCTCTATTAGCCATGTGATTGTTATTTTAATGATAAAGGGAAATCTCAACGTAGCGCTCGCCAACACAACGCAGCAGTCACCAGTGTCAGCCACACTGGGTGAAAGGTGAGGCATTACTCACATCGCAGGAACAGATTCCTCTCCCTGCACCCTTCAAAGCTGACAAAAATCCGGAGCTGAAATCTTGGCAAGGGAGTTTCATTATTTCCCAAGGCACCTGACTTTCTTCATCTCATGACTAAGGCATATGTGGTAAGAAACCCAAAGTATTAAATATACTGTATAACTTACTGCTTTGATATAAAAAATAAGTTTCTAGATTTACAGTATAAGGGTGTGACTATTTTTCAGCAGTTTTACAGTCCAGCAGCTACATCTCCGTTTTAAAGTGTAACAAGGTTCTCAGCCATGTAACACAGACTGTAGAAGTTGCAGCCTATGCAGCAGAGGTTACACAGGGAGGACAGCAGTCTATAGAGCCACAGGCGACCGCTGAGATGCCTGTATTTGATATCTGTCTCACGCAGTTTTGCGTAAGCTTTGCGATTAGATGACAGGCCAATGTCCTGACCCAACCCGCAGCCCTGCTCAATGAGGTGCATGTCTGCCATGATCTCTGATGCCATTTGGCCAAACCACTGAGCATTGACAGCTGCAACCGTCACAGAGATTACAAAAAAATATTTTAAAATTGGTTTTAATGTAATGTGATGATGTAATGCAAGTAACACACCTGAAAGGCTTCTCTGGCATCCAGTAGGTCACTGGGATGATACACTGCGTAGATAGTGAGGTTAAAGAAGGCACAAGCTGAACCCAGGTGGAGGTAGAATGGAACAAGATGGCTCTGAATGAATCCATACGTGTGTCTGTTCAGGTGGTTGTCCATCACAAAGCCTGTGCAGAAATGATAACTGTGTGGCACTGTGGAGACCCCTAATTCTACAAATATTGTAAATTACTACTTTAACATGGACTGCAATATTCTGAAAATAATATTAGGTAGGAAGTTTCTGGTGACCTCTACCTGAATTAAGTCATAGTAATATATTCAATTAACTATGTAAAAGTTTTCCATTGTTAGTATATACTGTACATCTATGATTATCAAAGTTTTATAACTATTCAGACAAATAGAAACAAAATGTGCCACCTTGCTTCTCTATTGGTTTAAGTAGACTGTTTTACAAAAAAAACAAAAAAAAAAACAACCACAGCGATACAACACAGTACCAACATGACAAGTGCACATTTGTGGTTGAATACTGGCAGAAAGCTCAGAAGTGTTAATATATAACCCACAGACACATCATAGATTACTGCAATCTGTTTAAACGTCGTTACAGAGCTACAACAAAGCAGGTCCGGATCTGGATGTAGGTGGAATTGCGGGCATGAAAAAGCTGGTTAAAATTTATACAAAGCTGCTTCACTGAGGCTTTGCTCACATTTGGCATAAAATTATTGTGGGTGATCATTAGTAAACAGATCTGAATGCAGGTGTTAACACTCCCCAAAATGTGATCGCTCAGGCCACATTCACATCCCCAGTGTCAGGAGCCACTTTTTCACCTAGTTTTGTTAGTGTCGTTTTTAATCCAGCGTGTGTGTGTAACACCTACTTGAAATGAAGGTGACCCAAATCTGCATTCCCCAGTAAGTGGAGAGTAACAACAGCTGCAGCAGCTTGACTGTGAAGGTGGGCTCCTGGTCAGTGGACATACTGCCTGTTCAGCTGCTCACTTCTTCGATCTGGACTCTACTGTAGTATGTAAGCCGTCCGGAGAGGGAGAGGTCGGTTCTTCTTTGCCTTGCACTCTCTGGTCTTGCTTGTTTGTCCGTAGGGCACTTGATGCGCCACTCCAGAGCCTCTGGAAACATGGTCAGCATGTCACAATAAACGTGATTTTAAGTGCAAGGGACAGTTTCTGTAGATCGTTCATGATATACACACTTAGTTTGCTCATCCACAGCTTTAGGTAAGAATGATTTTGACACTGGGACAGAGACTCTCGCGTACCCAAAATAAACAACGTTACCACCAACAATCATGGAAGCGATACAGGAGATAAAGAATGATTTTGACACTGGGACAGAGAATCTCGCGTACCCAAAATAAATAACGTTACCACCAACAATCATGGAAGAGATACAGGAGATGGTGCAACCGGAACCGTCTAGAAAGTCCTCATTCATGTCAGGAAGGCTGAACTGTTGTGGGACCTTATACACTGTATACGTTAGACCACTATCAGCCCAACAGGAAAACAAATCTGCAGCAGTGCACGTCTCAGTCCTACTCACACGGCTCATTTTAGCTAACTAGAGCATCCATCCATCCATTTTCTACCGCTTAGTCCCTGAACGGGGTCACGGTGGGGGGGCTGGAGCCAATCCCAGCCGGCAATCGGCCGAAGGCGGGGTACACCCTGGACAGGGCGCCAGTCCATCGCAGGGCTAA